CACAGGGGTCTTAGGATGAGGGAAGAGACGAGGATCTGACTCCATGTTTCAGAAGGCTTGATTTATTATTTTATGATATTTATTATATTAAAACTATACTAAAATAATAGAAGAAAGGATTTCATCAGAAGGCTAGCTAATAATAGAAAAAGAAAGAATGATAACAAAGGTTTGTGGCTTGGACAGAGTCCGAGCCAGCTGACTGTGATTGGCCATTAATTAGAATTGACCACATGAGACCAATCACAGATGCCCCTGTTGAATTCCACAGCAGCAGATAATCAATGTTTACATTTTGTTCCTGAGGCCTCTGGGCTTCTCAGGAGGAAAAAATCCTAAGGAAAGGATTTTTCATAAAAGATGTCTGTGACACTAAACTATACTAAAGAATACAGAAAGGATACCTACTAAATGCTCAAAAGCTGATAATGAAAACTCATGACTCTTTCCAGATTCCCGACACAGCTTGGCCCTGATTGGCCAGAGTCAAAACAATTCACATGAAACCAATGAAACAACCACCAGTTGGATAAACAATCTCCAAACACATTCCACATGTGAGCACAATGCAGGAGAAGCAAATGAGATAAGAATTGGTTTCCTTTTTCTCTGTGGCTTCTCAGCTTCCCAGGAGAAGAAATCCTGGCAAAGGGATTTTTCAGAAAATATGGCAGTGACAAGGCACTGCACTCACCATCAAGAATTTATATTTACTTATACATATATATATATATATATATATATATATATATATGTATGTATGTATTTATAATGACTTGGCTTTGCCCCTCCTCAAGATTAGTTTTTCTTTTCGTTCCCAATTTCTGAGTTTCCTTTCCCACTAAGGGAAGGTGGAAGGCAGGGCTTGATCCTTTGAAATGACACAGTGCCATGACAATGAGCAGCTGTGTCCAGCTTTTCTCTTTAGGAAATATTTGACAACTCACCTAACCTTAGCACATCTCCAGGGAATTAAAGGGGCATTTTTGGTTGTTTCCACCCTAATAATAACATTCAGTCGTAAGCTGTGCCAAGGGAAATGTAGGTTGGATATTAGGAAAAAGTTTTTTTACAGAAAGGGTGATAAAGTTCTGGAATGGTCTGCCTGGGGAGGTGGTGGAGTCACCATCCCTGGGTGTGTTTAAAAACAGCCTGGATGTGGCGCTGGGTGCCAGGGTTTAGTTGAGGTGTTGGGGCTGGGTTGGACTCAATGATCTTGGAGGTTTCTTCCAACCCAGTGATTCTGTAAATTCCCTGGCTTTTCAAGGACTTTTTTATTTTTTGAGGACAAGTGAGGGAGTTCTTTCAATGCTGTAGGTCAGGATGGAACAGCGGGTGCTGAGGGTCCCTGGAGCCACCTTGAAGGGCATCCAAGCCAAGGCTGCCTCATCCCACCCTCAGAGACACCTGGAAAACTCCTCTGCCTTAGGAGATCAGCCCTGCTCCCAGAAATTGCTCAGGAGATGCAAACAAACCCAGGGTGAAACCAAACCCCTGGGATGAATGCAGAGGGAAGCACGTGGCCAGGCTGGGGCACTCAGGGGGTGTTTCCTTCCCAGGCTCATCCCTGGGATTCCCCATGGCTTCTCCTGTGATTCATGGGTGACAACTGGAGCCTGACACTGCCCGGCTGCCATTCCCTTCAGGATGTGCTCCTGGATCCTGAAACATTCCCTGTAACCCAGCCCAGAGCCAATTATTCCCTGTGGGCCATTCCAGCCTCGGGATTTTTGGAGGGCTGAGCTGTTTAGGGATGAGAGGGGAAGTGCAGGGCCAGCCAAGCCACCATTCCCAGAAATACCCACTCCTAAATAGAACCTGAGCCTCCAAACATTTCTAAATGGAGCCAGTGACATTCATGGCTGATCAATGAAATTCCCACTCTCCATCCTTCAGCAGGGAAGCACAACAAGGTTATTATACCTGTTCATCTTCTTCTTCTTCCATATCCTGCAGTGTTTCCCACCTTTTGCAGCAACAACCATCCCTGAATTGCATTCAGTATCCCATGAAATTAAATTTAATATCCCATGGAAACCCTGCTCTGGGAAGGTTTCCAAATCAAAAAGTGCAACCTTTTGCTATTGCTAGAAAAAATTGGGTCTATCAAACTCTTGCCCATCCACAGTGATTTGAAGTTTTCCTATAGTATCTATCCTAAAATTATTCAACTTATTTATTGTTTAGTTAAGAACTTGTTTATTCCATTTCTTGGACCAGCTGGGATAATTTTTTTGGGGGGGGTGAAATGGGCAGAAATTTGAATATTTTGGTAGATTGATTCAGTTTTGAGCTGGTAGGTGAAAGGTGGGTTTAAAATAATCTCAGAGCAAGGACACAATGGGAAAGACAAAATTCCTGAAGAACTTGGTTGTTTTCTTTATTCATTGTGTTTGTTTAAAAGTCTTTGAAGAATAATTTGGTTTGGTTATTAAAGTGAATTAAACCAGGCAAAAGGAGCAGGAGACGTGGCCAAGTGGCACTAAATAAAACTGTCTTTTATATAAATTTAAACTCAAACAGAACAAAATCCTCTGGCTTGGATCAGGGGCCAAACAAGTGCAAATATTTCAAGGAATAAGGAAATAAGTAAAGAAGTTATTCAAATATTGTATCATTTAAACTTAGGAAATAATGTCCTTTAATGTGTCTAAATTTTATGCTTCCATGAGAGCTGATAAATAATATTTGGTATTATTTTAATCTGAGCATTTTAAGCCAGATTTAATGCCCATAAAAATTTCAGCAGGGCTCCCTTAATTGGGGAAAGTATTTTGGTACTTGGTAATTTAAATTACCAAGCAATTAAAAACATGAAATTACATTCTGGATTGTTGAAGTTTTCTGTAAACTTTAATAATGATTAAATGTGTATTAAGATAAATGATATTTTGTCCAAGTGGCAAGAAATAAGTGGGGGGATTTTTTTTGAAACCATCAATTTTACCATTATTTAATGGTTAGTTATAAATGACCATTGGTGTTATATAAATAGAAATTAATGTCTTCCAAAGGAACCAAATCCTGCAGTGTTTTCCTGCTGATACATCCCACAGCTCTGTCAAAATAATAACTGGGATTAGCAGGGAAGTGCTGGAAACTGCAAAACTCACCTGGTTTCATTTCCATCATGTTGTGGCAGCTGTTGAATTTGTAACTCCTGGAATTTTTAACTCCTGAATTTTTAACTCTTGGAAACTGCCAGGAATGCAGGAATTGGACCAGGAGCCGCCCTCAGCATTCCTTTCTGCTGCAGGAATTGTTAAAATTATTATCAAAAAATTACAAATTAATTACAAAAATTAATTACTTAATTAATGACCAAAAAATTTACAAAAATTAAAATTACTGTGCAAACTTATCTGCAAGGAAAACTTCCCTGTATCCACACCCTGCTGGAAGCCTGGGTGGATAAAGCCACTTGTGGAATAGGAAGTAAAAAGCAGCTGAACATTAAAATAAAGGAAAAAAAGGAATTTGGTTTTTTTCACCATAGTTATTTAATACTATTAAACACATCTATAAATCCAATTAATGTACTATCATTAGAAAATCCTGTTGAGCACAGAGCATGGATATTGGAGCACAGTTCAGAACTCGAGGATGGGTTCACAAAGCCCGGCCCATCCCTTGGGGCAGTTTTCCCTCCACATTCCTTCCTGGGAGGAAGAAGAACAGCACTTCAGCTTCTCTAAACTCTGTCAAACCAGCCAGTTTAGTGCTCAGATAATGAATTTATTTGTGATTTTCTGGTTGCCACCCTCAGGCTCTACAGGACGTTCAAGGACAGCAAGTACCTGTACATGCTGATGGAGGCCTGCCTGGGGGGAGAGCTCTGGACAATTCTCAGGGACAGGTGAGCTGGGGCTTGTCCTGCACTGTGAGATGTTCTAAATGTCACAATTCCAGCTGGAAGGCTTGGAAGGGCCTCAAAGCCCATCCTGTGCCACCCCTTCCACCATCCCAGGCTGCTCCAAGCCCCAATGTCCAGCCTGGCCTTGGGCACTGCCAGGGATCCAGGGGCAGCCACAGCTGTGCCAGGGCCTGCCCACCCTCACAGGGAACAACTCCTAGTTCCCAATATCCCATCCATCCCTGGCCTCTGTCATTTTGAAGCCATTCCCTGTGTCCTGTCCCTCCATCCCTTGTCCCCAGTTGCTCTCCAGCTCTCCTGGGGCCCCTTTAGGCCCTGCATGGAGCTCTGAGCTCTCCCTGGAGCCTTCTCCTCCCCAGCTCTCCCAGCCTGGTTCCAGGCCTGGAGCAGCTCCATGGCCTCCTCTGGATTTGCTCCAGCAGCTCCAGGTCCTTTTGATGTCAGTTTTTAAATCACAATTTCCCATCTCAGAGCTTTTTCTGTGTTTGCAGCCCTTCCTTTGTGAGTGTGATTCTCAACTCTCAGCTCTGCCACATGGACGCTGCTCAGTAATATCCATAAATATTTCCTGGGATTTATGGATAATTCCAGCCAGGACTGAGAGCAATGAGCAGGAGGAAACTGAGAGCTGTGCAGGGTCAGTTGGCCCAGAAATCCCACTTTACACCAGGGCTGCTGATTCAAGTGGGAATCAGAATCCACACCCTGCCAGGAGCACTGGTCCATCAGGATGCAGCAGTGACATGGAAAAAAATGAGTTAGGAAACATTCATGTCCAAAACCCCAGAGTCCCTGCCTTGGAGGGGTCAGCTTGGAGTGTTTGGGGCTCCTGGGTGCATGTGGGATGGGCCCACAGAGACGGAAAAGACACAGGGAATTGTAACTCTGGAATAGCCTCATCACTGGAGCAGAATTCCATTAAATTTTGGAAGATTGATCAGGAAGATTAAATTGTCTTTTAATTCCCCAGAACTATTTTTTCTCTAGTTCTTCCTTTTCCCAACAGCATTTTTCTCACTGAAAGGGGAACTGGAGCAAAGTTAGAAGGTGCTGGGTGAGATTTTTCCTAACTTTTTGTCAGAGCCTGATAATTCCATCTTTAATTCTCTGGGATTTAAACTGAGGTTCTGCTGCCATCTAGCTTAGACACCCTCTGGTCTCAGCCAGCCCCCAGCAGGCATAGGATGTGTTTTTCTTTGGAAAACTTCAGAAACAAGGAGCCAAAGGTGCAGTTTGGGATTTGCATTAACTCTCAAGGCCCAGCAGCTGTGGTTTTTCTGCCTTTTGTCTCAGTTATGAACATTAATACAGAATTTATCTGCACTCCTCAAAAGAGTTTTAGCACAAACCCCAAAGTTGTAATTACCAAAAAATACCCTTTTGCTTACAGAACAAGGATTTCAAAGTTTTATTTCTAAATTATAGAATAAATCTTAAAATAGTTTCAGATATTGGAAGCAAAGAGGCTTGTTCAAAAATGGAAATTTAACTAGATTATAGAAATATAGAGATATTAAATTGAATATATATTTAGAGAGAGATATAAAAGTGAGATATATTTTATATAGAGAGATTTTATATATAGATATACATAGAGATATATTTTATATATAGAGATAGCAAAGACGCTTGTTCAAAAATGGAAATTTAACTAGATTATAGAGATACAAAAGTGAATATATATATAGAGAGAGATATAAAGTGAGATATATTTTATATATAGGAATATAAAAATGAATATATATAGAGACAGATAAAAAAGCGAGATATATTTTATATATAGAGATTATATATATGCTGATAGATATATTTTATATAGATAGATATATATATTTTATATATATAGATAGCAAAGAGGCTTCTTCAAAAGTGTAAATTTAACTAGATTATAGAAATACAGAGATAGAATAATTGAATATATATAGAGAGATATAAAAGTGAGATGTATTTTATATAGAGAGATATAAAAGTGAGTTTAGCACCAGGAGCTTTCCTGGTGTTAAAAAGTGATTTTACTGCAGCAATAAAAGTTTTAACAGCAGAATTAATTCCATGGGGAAGGAAACCACTTCCCAAGGATTCATCTAATGGCTTTATCCCCTTTTCCCTCCCTCCTTCATCCCACAGGGGTTCATTCGAGGATTCCACCACCAGGTTCTACACGGCGTGCGTGGTGGAAGCCTTTGCCTACTTGCATTCCAAAGGGATCATTTATAGGGACCTCAAGCCAGAGAACCTCATCCTGGATCACCGAGGTTATGCCAAGCTGGTGAGTGCCCCAAAAAATCCCCCCAGCTTTGACCAGAAAGGGTGAGGAGCAAAATCCCCCCACAGGGTCCATCAGGGGATGCTGAGAAGAGATCAGGGCAGGGTGGTGTCATCATCATCATCATCTGGGATGTTTTCCTGACTTCCAGCAGGGCTCAGGGCATGGCTGAGCTGAGAAATGCTGGCTGTAAGGTCACAGTCTCAAGCTGCAGCAAGGGAAATATAGGTTGGATATTAGGAAAAAGTTTTTTACAGAAAGGGTGATAAAGTTCTGGAATGTTCTGCCCAGGGAGGTGGTGGATTCACCATCTCTGGATGTGTTTAAACCAGAGTGGATGTGGCACTGGGTACCAGGGTTTAGCTGAGGTGTTGGGGCTGGGTTGGACTCGATCTTGGAGGTCTCTTGCAACCCAACCCAGTGATTCTATGAATTCTCTGAATTCTCTGACTTCTGTGATTCTTGGGATTCAGGTCCATGCTCCTGGAATGATGAGACAAGAGCATCAGGAGAAAGCCACCTGGCTGTCTTGGCCAAAAAATAACCCCAGAACTCAGGAAAGGCACTCTGCATTTTAGGGGTACCCCAAATGGCAAGGAGAGGGGCAAGAAAGATGAAATAGGTCCCTTGGTGGGAGGTGCTGCAGGATGTGGGTCCTTGGGAAGGACAGAAGCCCTAAAAGGAGCTGGCCCAGGAGGGGCTGATGGCCCATGGGGGCCAAGGGCTCTGTGTCTTGGTTTGGGGGCTCTTTGGGGACAGTAACAGCCCATAATCACAGCCTGGTGGCAGCCTCCATGTGTCACCTCCTGAGTGACATCAGGATTTACCCTCTGGGGCATTTCCCTGAAATTGGGGTTCCTAGGAGGTAGAGGAGGATGAGGTGCAGCACTGTCCTTCTCCCACCCCAGGAGCATCTGGACCTGGGTCTGTGCTGGTCCCTCAGCAGCCCCCAGCTCCTCAGGCATGTCCCTGAGTGTCCCAGAGCCCTGTGACCCTGTGGGTTCCTGACCAGCCCCAGAGTACTCATCCTGAATGGTTTGAGTGGGAAGGGACCTTAAAACCCATCCCATTAAAAAAAAAAGGTCATGTCATGGACAGTTTCCACCCTGCTGCCCACTTGGAATTCATTTTGAAGGATTCATCCTTCAAAATTCAGCCTACAGTGTGTCTTGTAGACTTCACTTTTACTCCGTTATTTTTCTTTCCATCTTCTCCTAAAATCCCTGAATCCCAGGATGGTTTGGGTTGGAATGGACCTTCAAGCTCCAAAATTCCACCCCTGCTGCGGGCAGGGACACCTTCCAGGCTGCTCTAAACCTGGCCTTGGGCACTGCCAGGGAACCAGGGGCAGCCACAGCTGCTCTGGGCACCCTGTGCCAGGGCCTGCCCACCCTGCCAGGAACAATTCCTCATTCCCAATATCCCATCCAGCCCTGCCCTCTCACACCTTAAAACCATTCCTTTTCCATGTTAATTTAAATTTAAAAGAAAAAAAAAACAAAATAAATCAATCTGTGCTGTGAGTGACATCAATTCCAATCCCCAAAAAACCCTTGGTGCTGGTGTTTGCTTCCCTGATGGGAATTTTCCCAAGGATAAATCAGCAAAAAGGTCACTGTGGTTCCCTGGTCCTGGAACGACCCTCAGTGCTTTAATTGAGAGAAAATTCCCATGAGGAATCCTCCTTTCTGCCTTGCTTCACTTCAAGAGGAGCAGAGCCCAGGGCTGACATTCCCTCTGATGCCCTGCCCTGACTCTCTCCTGCCCCTTCCCCCAGGTCGATTTTGGCTTTGCAAAGAAAATAGGATTTGGAAAGAAAACATGGACTTTTTGTGGCACCCCGGAGTACGTAGCCCCCGAGATCATCCTGAACAAAGGTCATGACATTTCAGCAGACTACTGGTCCCTGGGAATCCTGATGTATGAGCTCCTGACTGGCAGGTATGGGCATCGAAATTCATCCCAAGAGTTCTGCCCTTCTCACCCTGATGAGGCCAGGGCAGGGGCAGGGCTGGGACAGGGAGCTCCACGGTGGCTTTTCCACTCAAATCATCTTTTTTTGGCTCTAAGTGGGCTGAACATAATGGGAAAAGAGGAAGGGTTTGGTCCTGAAGGGTCTGGAAATGGTGGGGAAAGGGGAAGGGTTTGGCTCTGAATGGGCTGAACATGGTGGGGAAAGGGGAAGGGTTTGTTCCTGAATGATGGGAAAAAGGGAAGGGTTTGTTCCTGAATGCTGGGGAAAGGGGAAGGTTTTGGCCCTGAAGGGTCTGGAAATGCTGGGAAAAGGGGAAAGAATATGCTCTCACCTCTGGAGGTTTGGTCCTGAAGTGTCTGGAAATGATGGAAAAGGGGAAGGGTTTGGCCTTGCGTGATGGGAAAAGGGGAAGGGTTTGGCCCTGAAGGGTCTGGAAATGATGGGAAAAGAGGAAGGATTTGGTCCTGAAGGGTCTGGAAATCATGGGAAAAAGAGGAAGAGTTTGACCCTGAATGGTCTGGAAATTATGGAAAAAGAGGAAAGGTTTAGCCCTGAAGGGTTTGGAAATGATGGGAAATGGGGAAGGGTTGGGCCGTGAATGATGGGAAAAGGGGAAAGTTTTGTCCCTGAAGGGTCTGGAAATGGTGGGGAAAGGAGAAGGGTTTGGCCTTGAATAGTCTGGAAATGATAGGAAAAGGGGAAGGTTTTGGCCCTGAATGATGGGAAAAGGGGAAGGGTTTGGTCCTGAAGGGTCTGGAAATGATGGGAGATGGGGAAGGGTTTGGTCTTGAAGGGTTTGGAAATGATGGGAAAAAGGGGAAGGTTTTGGCCCCGAATGATGGGAAAAGGGGAAAGTTTTGGCCCTGAAGGGTCTGGAAATGATGGGAAAAGGGGAAGAGTTTGGCCCTGAATGATGGGAAAAGAGGAAGGGTTTGGCCCTAAAGGGTCTGGAAATGGTGGGGAAAGGGGAAGGGTTTACACTCAGCTGGGGAGGTTCCTCGCTGCTGGAAAGGAGGAGGCAGGTTGGGCACCATCCATCCCGTCCCATATTTAATTTGGGATATCACTGCTGCTCTTGGCTTCCTGGAGCTCCCTCACCTCACCCCCAGGAGATCCATCCCCTCCGCCTGCCCATCCTTCACATACAGCCCCCCATCCATGGAAAGCCAATTAATCCCCACTGGAAGCAGGAATCACACAAAGATAAGCCAGGGAATGCTGCTCAGAGCCTCCTGCCTTAGGCTGTGATGGGAAGAAGAGCTTTAGCATGGAAAACTTATTTTTGGTGTTCCCAGAATTCCAGAGCTCCTTGAGAAGTGGTTAGGATCATGGGAAGCAAAGCATTCCTGGTTGACATCTACCTTTTCTCATCTGGGTGTATTTTATCAAAATTTAATGCTGTTTTAAAGTCAATTTTTTATGAAAGACAAGTTTTTAATTTTTTTTTCCTTCCCTGTGCCCCCTGAAGTCCCCCTTTCTCAGGCCCAGACCCCATGAAGACCTATAACATCATATTAAGGGGAATAGACATGATTGAATTTCCAAAGAAGATTGCCAAAAATGCTGCTAACTTAATTAAAAAACTATGCAGGTAAGTGGATGTAAGAATAAACCAAAAAAACCTTGATGATGTTTGCAAAGAAATGAGCTGGGCAGAGGGATTTAGGATTTGTTTTCCTTTTACAGGGACAATCCATCAGAAAGATTAGGGAACTTGAAAAATGGAGTGAAAGATATCCAAAAGCACAAGTAAGTGTCTTCTCCAGCAGCCAACTCCAGAAAGAGGCATTTCAAACACCTCAATTTTCCCCTAAAAGCCACTTCCTATCCATAATGTAAATTCATCCTCCCTTTTGGTCCCGTGGTAGGGGTTATATGAAGTTTTAGGAGTTTATTGGGATAAGAACAGGTGAGAGAACCATTCCAGGAAGAATCTCTCCCATTCCCAAAGAGCAGGAATGGATTGGGTGGATATTTTTGTGGGAAGGCTCAGGGTTCATCCACCACCTCGAGCAAACCTGAGGAAAGCCACGAGTGGGGCGTCCTTGAGCATGAAGTCGGGAGTTAACCCAATTCCACAGGGATGAAAGGTCTCCTTTGAGATGGATCCATGCTCTGGAAGGGAAGGAGCAGCTTCCAGGACACCTGCAGCAAGGAATGGTTCCCATCTGAGCGTTGGCAATTTCCACTTGGGCGGTGTCACTGCACACTCTTCCTTCTTGGTCCCCAAAAGAGATGACAGGAAAAATTCCAAAGGGATTTGAAGGCAAAGTCTGTGGGAGATGAAACCTGTTGTTCAAGAAATTTTCTGTTCTTTTTGTGCTACACCTGTCTAACTGTTGGATTCTTCCCTCCCTTTCAGATGGTTTGAAGGCTTTAACTGGGAAGGGTTACGGAAAGGGACACTGACACCTCCCATAATCCCAAGTGTAAGTTTTCCTATCATTGTTTTTTCCTCCATGGGCAATTCCTGTGATGCTGTGAGCTTTGGGCAGTGGTACACTGGGTTAAGTGGGAATAATGTGCTTTATTTTTTCTGGAGGTGCTTGAAAATTTTATTTAGGTACATTCCCAGCTGAGCTTGCTCTCCAGGCAGGCTCTTCCCTGGGAATGCAGTGTGAGGAGGGCACAGCCATGGAGAAACCTCCCCTTTGCAGCAGGGGATTGAAGCAGGATCACCCACTCCAGCTCATTTTCCTTTCTCTCACCTGCTCCACTTGTTCCTGCATCTCCTTTCCCCCTTTCCGTGGAGAGCTGCCCCTTCCACCCCTTCTCTCAGCTGCGTCCCCTTCCCTTCTCCTTTATTCTCATTTCCTTTGCAAAGGCAAGCGGGATTTGGATGCCATCTTCCTTTTCTTTCACATTAACCTTCCCTTCTGTGCTGCCTTTTGTGCCCGTGGCCCTCTGTGCCCTGCATCCATGTCCTACATGAAAAGCTGTTGATGTTTAACCGGGAGCGGGCGCGGAGGGACAGCTCCGCGCGTTTTCCTTTGCACCAAAGCCCTTCCTTTGATGTCTTTGTGAGCTCCCAGCCCTCAAAGCCCTGCTGCAAAGGGAAACCAAACAGGATTAGCTGACAGAAATTACCTCGGCCCCTTCTGTCCTGCAGCCTCCTCTCCTTGTTCCAGCCTAATCCCTCGGGATCACCGGGAGAATGCCATTAATGGGGGTTTAATTGCACCCCATTGCTCCATCCTGCAGCTCCTGCAGAAGGGGCAGGCCCAGCTCCAGGGGCTGAGTCTGCCATCCCAAAGTTTGCTTAGGGAAAGAGCAGGAGGGTTTCCATCCCCCCCTTTTAACCCTGTGGGATGCAGGAGCTGCTGGAGTCAGTGGGGAAAGCAGGACTTGGCAAATCTCTCCCGTAACAACTCAGAAATGTTTTAGAGATCAAAGCTGGGTTTGGTTGGGTTTTTTTTCTTTTAAGCTCAAGCTATGAGCCTGGTTTGGGTTGGAAGGGTCCTTTGAGATCATCCAGTTCCATCACCTTCAATGGCATATTCCATTATCCCAGGTTGCTCCAAGCCCGGCCTTGACCTATTTTTAATGCCTATTCATTCATCAGCAGGATCACATTGCAAGTCAGGCAATAAAGTCAAGTTTGCTCCTTCACATTTCCTGCTTTAGGAATGCAGGATGTCCATATAGCCTGGAAAAACCCCAAGATATCTTCCTAACTGGTTATGGATTTTTAATTTAGTAGAATTTCCAATCCTGCTCTTACCCCACCTAGCAAGGCTGACTGGAATAGATGGGAGCATCCTTCCCTCTTCCAGGCTGGCCCTAATCCTGGTTCAACCCAGCTCATCCTTTCCTGGAGCTCTTGGGAGTAGCAGCTCCTCCAGACCTACTCCTGAGATCCTCTCCAAACCCATCAACTGTGAATTTTTCTCAATCCTACTCCAGCTCGTTTTCCGCAAGTTCTTTTGGCAAAGTCCCAATTGCCACTCTGAAAAGGGACCCAAAATACAGCTGTGGTGGCAGACATCCACTTTTCCTTCAATCCACCTCTCCTTGTTAGCTGGGAAAGAGCCAGCAGGACCAAACATACAGATCAGTTCCTTTTTCTTTGAAAAAAAAGGCTTTTTCCAGCCCTTTAACTCTCATTTCTTACGTGGCTCTGCCAGTGAGGCAATCAAAGAGCTCTTGTTCCATGGGGTTTTTGGAAAGATCCCAATTTACAACCTGCTGCTAGGACACTGCTGAGCCTTGATATCACAGCTGGAATCTGTGATTTTACCTCTCCTTGAAAGCTCAGGACTCTGCCAAAGATGAGCTGAGCAAGCAAGGGGTTAAGGAGCCCCAACAAAGTCAACAGATCCAGATAATCTGAAAGAAATTAAGATTTTGTAAAGTGGGGTTTTTTTTTTCCAAAATCAGTTCCATAATCCTGATTTGCCCCAAAAAGTGTTCAGCAGCAGGAAAGTGCTGATGCAGTTGGGCAGCACATTAAATGTAGGGCTGGAGTTGGAGCTCCTGTCTTTTCCCAAGGCTTGCAGCAGCATCCAGCATCAAATGGGAATCTCAGGAGGGTTAACAAGGCCAAGTGGGTTGGGGCAACCCCTGAGATCAATCCAGGCTGGATACTGGGAAAAAAAATATTCCTGTGAGGGTGGGCAGGCCCTGGCACAGGGTGCCCAGAGCAGCTGTGGCTGCCCCTGGATCCCTGGAAATGCCCAAGGTTGGACTTTGGGGCTTGTAGAAACCTGGGACAGTGGAATGTGTGGGACTTTAAGGGACTTTAAGGTCCCTTCCTACCTAAATCAAACCATTCCATAATTCTGGGATTTAATGACTGTCCGTTGCCCCATGGCTCAGGCTCTTCCCAAATGAAATGTCTGAGAACAGCAACAAGTGTTTTCCTGCTCTGGGTAAAGCTTAAAGTATTAAATTTCTAGTAAGTCTCTCATTCCTTTGGGCTGGAGAGTTGCTGGTTTCCTCTTTAATTGTTTATTTTTTTTTATTGTCTTGACTTTATCAAGTCCTCACTGTAAGAAAGTTTCCTTTGCTGTCACAAAGCAGGAAAACCATAAATTCTGTAGCCAGGGTAGATTTCAAATGTCATGGTTTCCAAAAAGAAATGGGCTTGGCCTTCATCCTGGGAAGATGGGTTTCTCTGGAAGGATCCAATGTCAGGAAACTCCAAGGCAGCATCCTGGATCCATGGATGGGAAATCCTGGGCTCTTTTCCCAAGCCTGGTATGATAACCTTGTGGCAGTGGGTAGGAAAACTCAGGAGAGCAGGGCAGCTGGGGGAAATCACTGGGAAGGCAGCACATCCCTGCCTTGCTGGGGATTCTCTGGGATGCCCATGGCTGTGGGATGCAGAGGGAATGCCAACCCTGGGATGAACATCCCCTTCTCCTTGCTCTTCCCCCCGCAGGTCGCGTCTCCCACGGACACGAGCAACTTTGACAGCTTCCCAGAGGACAGTGACGAGCCACCCCCTGACGACAACTCAGGATGGGACATAGATTTTTAATGTTCTTTCTCTTACCTGCTTCTGCCTTGCTGAGGACAGCTTTTCCTGGGACGTGGCTGCCAGCGGAACGGGAAGACCGGAACGGGGGAGGATTCGTGCTCGGGGTCACCACGATGCCTTGATTGATGCTGCTCCAGTAACTCCAGTGGCATTAGGACTTCTTGCTTAGTGACAATAGTGCTCTCCATGTTTTCTGTTGGAACGTGACCTGGCTTGGGCACGGTGGTCCTGGCACAGAGCCTTGCTCCGGCACAGAACTCCTCTTCTGTGGCCACAGAGATCCTGGCCCACTCTTGATTTGCAGAGTGACAGATCCGTAGAGTAAGAGGCACTTAAATTCCAGCTGCTTTTTTCCCTAGGATCAGTAGTAACTTATGAAGTGCTGCAGCTCCTCCAGTGCAGGATTTGGGCTATTCCCACCCTCTGAGCTCCACAGGGCAGCGCTGGAGCCCAGGAGGAGCACGGGCAAAGCGCTCCCGTCAAAGCAGTGGGGAATGTGTCCTTTTCCTTCCCTAGCAGTATTCCTGACGAGACTGAATGTTCCCTTTCCTCCTTGTTTTGGAAACATTTTAGCTCAGCCTGGTCAAACAAAAGCACAACTGCTGCAGATGCTGTCGAGGCAGAGGTTGGGTCGCTTCCCTCACGTGGCAGCACCGCCTTTGGGCTTCAGTTCTCCTTTCCCTTGGTACCAACACATGCACGGAAAGAGAAAATCATGGAATGAATCCATTGTACATCCACTGATCTGTTCTACATCTATTGATCCACTGTGCATCCATTGATCCATTTCACATCCATTGATCCATTTCACAGCGCTCCAATCACGGTCCTGAACAAAGCGACAGCAGCCCACCAGTGTGATTGGGTATAAAATTAAGGATAAATTGGAAAAATTAAGGATAAATTTGATCTTTTGGGGCTCAAAGGGAAAAACAGGAGACCTGTGATGTCCTCTCGAGGTGCTACATCCATCCCTCACCTGGGTAGAAGCCTGTCCCTGACCCTTCCTGTCAGGAATATGTAGCAGAGGCTCCTTTCTCCCTTTTGGTGGTTCCATGTCTGCATCTCTTCCATGTTTAAAGAATCTCATTAAAATAGAAATCCTGGCTCTGGTGGAACACTGCCAGTAATCCTGATGCCCCTCCAGGCTAAGGAGCTCCACAGGAGAGTCAATGGAATTCCATGGGATACTGGAAGATCCCTTTGAGCTCTCCAGCATGCCAGGTCCACATGACTGTGTTTAACACAGGGGTGACCAAATCCATATGGAAAAAAGAACTAGGGAAAACAATATTATCAGGACATGCTTTTCCCTCACTTCTATTGCTTTTCCTTTTTCTTGAATTGCCTCCTCTGGTTTATAGGATGCAGCAGAGGGATCCTGTCCTGGGTGCCCATTTGTTGCATACACACAGGACCGAAAGTTTATCCCATTATCCAACAGGAAACATCAGCTTTTGGGTCTCTCTGAGAAACCTGGCCCCCAAAAAATCACAGAGTCATGGAATGATGGGATGGTTTGGGTCGGAAGGGACCTTAAAGGTCCTCTCATCCCAGCCCCATGGGTGAGCAGGTGCTGCCTCCTTTCAATCCCAGCTGCCAAGAGCTGACCGTGGAAAGATCAAGTCTTGCTGACAAGGACTTTTCCCACACATTACATGGAAAAGATCTGTTTGAGCAGTGAAAAATTCCTTCCCTGATGCTGAGTCCCAACTCTTTTGCATGTTTTTCATTAAAGGATGTAATCAGAAGGGTATTTTGACAGATTGGGCCATGTCTGCTCTTCAGCATGAGCTGGGCTGTGTGACACCTTTGAAACTGTGGCTCTGGAATTCCCTGTGTTTCCCAAAGGGTGAGGCCACACCTCTGGCACAGTCACTTCTGCTGTTCTTTAACCATTAAAACTTTGTTTGCCTTCAAAATCCCAGGGAAAAGGCAGCGCCTGCTGGCTTTTCCACCTTTCCCCAAGGGATGGACAGCACTGAGAGCCAAGGCTGAGCACGAGGGCTAAAACATTCACCAGGCATCTTAAATAGGCCTAACAGCCAAAGGCTTCCCTCCTCACATCCCCCTGGACTTTCCCTCCATGGGGACAGCTTCCTCTAGGAGTGTGTCCCAGGATGGTGGCACCCGATGCAATTGGCAGGCAAGGAGGGCAAAGCACCACAAGGATTTGGGGATCAGCCTGAAAAAGTGACAGGAGGGAGGGTCTGGAATGGGCTGAGCAGTTGGGGTTTCCTTTTCCTGTCCCTTTTTTTCCTTGTGCCAGGCATGGGAATTGACACCTGCAGCGTGCACTGTGCTGAATCTGAGTTTATTTTGATATCAAACACCTCACTCGACTTCCATGGCCTCCCTCTCCTGAGCATTAACACTTTGCATATGTATATGATAAGCCTTCAGTTATGATAATATATTTAAGTTGCTTTATATATATCTCTGTATATCCACAACAAGGGATTGCCTCTGTGTTTCCACCTCCTGTCCTTATTTGTTTGTCTCCTTTCCTGATCTATGGGACGACAGCGTTTTTAGGGAAGGGGGAATCGGCTCCCATGTTTCCAGAGGGGGCTTTGAGTGGTGTTGTGGCTTCTCCTGGAGCTGCACTGCCCACAGCAAACTCTTCTTCTCCAACAACAGGACCACGAGCAGATATTTCTGTAAATAGGTATTTTCGTGTCGATGTTTTGTGGGTCACACAGGACTTTCTGTTCTTTTCCAGTTCCATGGCATTATTCCTTCATTTCCTTATTTGTAATGTAATGTTTTTAGGTCGAGGTAGACTTGAATCAATGTCATATTTGTCAGTATGATTAAACTTTCTGTCAGCTGTCCTGTTCACCCACCCGTCCCATAGTTCTAGAACGTCACTGGCTATCTGGCATTGTTGCAAGTGCCTTAAATCCATGGCATCTTATTGAGAAAAAGAAAAAAAAGAGACAAATTTGGTGTTATGCTGCATGACAAAGACAAACACACCTCAAACCGTCGTCCTTTCTTAGCTTGCTGCGTTTTACAGTTCTTTCTGCTACCGATTTCTAAGCCTTTATTATCTGATCTCGATGAATTCCAGAAATGATGACGTCGTTCTCTGATTTCTGTTCAATGTACCAGAGCTGTGTATCTGTTAATGAGATACAGAGTCATTTCTGTGAAATGTATAAATGTGATGTGCGGGTCAAATTAATCTCTGACATCCTAGCAGTCCGTAGACAGGTATTCCTGTTTTGCTAAGCTCTGCAGATCCCACCCATCCGTGCTGTCCCACACAGCCCTCCCTGGGGAATCTCCCACATGGGAAAAATCCACCCTGGCAGCATTTTCCTGACCTAGAACCCTGGTGCAAAGACGAGGCTCCTTTGCACCACTCAGCCAAACAGGATCTGTGTTTTTCCCTGCATCCACGGGGATGAGCCCTGGAAGCTCCTCCACAACTCCCCAGCCCTGACACCGAGACTTGGGTGCTTTTAGGGCTTTCTCAGAAAAAGGGGAAATTCCCATTTGGAGTTGCCTCTCCCCCCAAGTCCCGATTTATGCTTGTTTTACCCCAGCCCTTTGTTTTATACTCTGATTTTCTCTCCTTCCATGGCAGAGGTTTTGTTTGTCGGGCCGATGTCGGCCATCGGCCGCTTGCACTCTTTGGATGTTGACTGAGGAACTTTTTGGGTTTATTTTGTTTTGTTTTGTTTTTTTTTCATAAACTTCCATGGCTTTTGTTTCGCTCTGTACTCCCCCTGCAGCTGTAATTGCCGAGTGCCTGTTGTATACTTTATAGAGTTGAAATAAAAATAATTACTTTTGAATGGCTGTCAGTGGGTTTCTTCCAGAGCGGGAGCTGAGTTTGGGAGAGATCTTGTGGATGGTGGTGAAATGTGGGGTTACAAGGGTTCTGCTCCCACAATTCCCACACAGAGCAGCTGTGGCTGGATCCCTGGAAGTGCCCAAGGCCAGGTTGGACAGGGCTTGGAACACCCTGGGATAGTGGAAGGTGTCCCTGCCCATGGCAGTGGGTGGCACTGGATGGGCTTTGATGTCCCTTCCAACTCCAAATCATTCTGTGATTTGATGATGACACACAGGTGAGCAAAAGCTGGGAGAAAGGAGCGACAAAACATCCTCTCAGGAGAGGAATAAATGTGGCAACAGCCCAAGGAGGAGCTGGCAATCATCACCAATCGCTCTGCGGGATGCAGCAATCACAGCTCGAAGTTAATAATGCAATAAAAACCTCAGGGTGACGTGGCCCTCACCTGAAACCGCCAGGGGAGCACCGAGATTTCGGGGCGAGGCGTGGCTCTCGTTATTCCAGGCTAAAAATAGGGAAGGCAGGAGGGGTGGCCGGGC